GATGATGACGATGATGATGATTTTGAGCCTGGAGGGTTTGATGGGAATGGATCCAGTCTTTGCCTGCTGCCACTCTTATTTTATATGCCAGGAAATTATATTGCCAAAAGATCTCAGGTTTTTTTTTTGAAAAGTGAATTGCAGTGTGAAAAAAGAATGATGCTAATTAAAGCTTAAAGCCCTCCATCCCCTAAATTTCTTCTAGAGCAGGGGTCGGCAACCTTTTGGACCTCAGGTACCACCAAACTCATAATTTTAAATCCCTTGGACCACTAATATGAATTTTGACTGACAGTGGCTTGCTGACATTGTGGGAAAGTTGGTCCTATATTCCAGAGGTGTAGTAGTCACAGGACTGGCCCTTTGATCATCCTGGAGCTCTGCGGAAAAAGCAGAAGCAGCAACGACCCTGGGGGGGGGAAAAAAAAAAGATGCAGGAAAATTCCCCACCCCATTTTCCTACGGATAGATCGTTCTTTATTTGGGATTGCAGGATACCATCTCCAACTCCATTCTATGGGAGAAAGAGATAGATAGATAGATACTTTTTGCTTCATGTAAGGAAAGCAGCAGAAGCAACAGAAGTTTACAGCCAAAAGCAGAGGAAGAAAGAAGCAGCCCGGTGGCCAGGCCAGGCATGTGGGGTGAGTGGGGCAAGTCCCCCCCTCTGCCCTTTTCCCCCTCTCCTCACTACCTCATGTTGTTCACAATGTAAGTGACGCAAGCCTTGTGTTCCCACAGGCCATGTGGCGGTGCAGCCTTATGTTCTCACGCAGCCTGGATTAATTGCTTTGGGGGTGACATTTCTCTGCGGACCACCAAAATTTTCGCACTGACCACCAGTGGTCCCCGGCCCACCAGTTGGCAACCACTGTTCTAGAGGAAAAAAAGAACCCTATCAGGGATAGTACACTTTCCACTCCCAGTTTTTCAAGTAAGATGCAATTCAGACCTCAAAACCTAGCTGACTATTTGGATGTGAGATATTGGTCTGCAATATTGTTCTATTTAAAATGCAACCATGGTTAGATTGTCTTAACTGCCCAGTTTTCTAAAAACATACATAAATCCTACTTTTCAGCCTTTGGAGGATATTTGGGTTTCTATTTTTTATGAATAGCCATCTGATAGACAGCAGAGTTGTGGTATTTCTCCCCCACCCCCAATGCTCTTCTGGAGGAAGAAAAAATATGAATCAGTTGCACTTGCCATACATTACCATCACCATGGTTTTTACATACCATTCCTGTAACACGATGCAAAGTATGTGTCTGTGGAATATAAACAGACTACACTCTTGTTTGTCCAGGGAGCAGTTGGAAAGCTAGAAAAAAATGAACATTATTTACAATGAAATCTTTAAACTCTGCTCCGGGATGTTTTATATATGGAAGCTATTTTTTTAAATAATAAAGGTTAATTTAATATCGTTAGGTCGTGGTTGTGAAATATGTACGTGTAGAATGGTGTCATATATCAAAAATGGTTAGTTAAAAAGCTTAGTATTTTTTAAAAACGAGTTACTAAGAAAATCTGACTAAACAGTTGCATGATCTAGTGTAATATATATGAAGTAAAGAAAGCCTGAAACTCATATGCTTCCTCTGCATCACTTTGGAGAATGTCCAAAGTTAGCCTTTAGTGATAAGCTGCCCAAAGTTTGAATTAAGATGAGCAGCCATAGAAATATTTAAAATTAAATAAATAAATTTTACTTTCATTTTAGTTAACTATTTTCTTTCATGTTCCTAACACAAAATCTTGTGGTTGTGGTTCAGTTTCAAGTTTCAGTTTCAGTTTCAAGTTGTAATCAATCCACGATTGCAGCATATTGGTTAAGCTGTTGAACTGGGACTAAGATTCAAGCTCAAGATCTACCTCAGCCATAGCTCATTGGGTGACTCTGGGCCAGTTATAAGAACATAAACAGTGCTGTTCTGGGTCAGACCTTTGGCCTATCACATACAGCAGCCTGTACTCACAGTGCCACTTAAATGCACAAGGAAGCCCACCAGTCTCTCACAAAGTGACCTTCAGAGGCAGTCACAGTGCCATCAAGGCCAATAGCTATTGATCTCATGACTTCCATGGATAGGTCTACCCTTTTTTGAAGCTAGCCAAGGTGGTAGCCAGCATCACTGTATTAGATTACCAAGAAATTGTTAATTACACAGGTTTTTTTTTGCAATTTATTAAATTAGTAATAACACATTGTAATCTAAATTCACTTAAGCCTTTTAAATGCTTTTGACATCAAGCATGTCCTTTAATCTATCCCACTGAAAATATAGATTTTGTTTTTTCTCTAAATGTTGTGTACAGTAAAATATTAAAATACAATTTTAATTAGTCCAGTTATTTTTCTGTTTCTTCTGTGCCTTGAATTGTAAATAATATGGTAGCTGTTGCTAGGTAACATCTAATTGTGATATTAACTGCCAACAGTTGTCAGAAGGTATAGTAAATTCTTTGATCTTCTTAATAAAAATTACTAAAGTGATTTCCATACATAGATACTCCATTTTAATTTTAATATTATAATGTTGTGATATAGTTTGGCTTACTATTAGACTTTTTTTAAAAAAAAATCTAAATTACTATTAGACTGTTTTTTTAATTTTAAAAGTGCTTTCTCTTGGCTTAAATATTAGCAACTTTTATTACATTGTGAGAACTATATTTTGGTGCTCATAATGATTAATCATATATAAATATCTATAAAATGCTGGAATAATAGCATTTATCAAATATAGCTATGTAGTTTCTGATTGCTACCTGCTAACTTGATTATGAACAATCAATTCCACCCATGTTTGAGTGGTTTTCACATGGTAACTGTTCTTCCCAGAAATCATAACAACCATATAAATACACAGGAAGGACTTTTACATACAAATTGTGGGTTTGTAAATGGCAGTTTTTCTTTCTAACTTTTCTGTCACTCGATGTCATTTGAGATCTTCCAATTTCTATGATAGATTTTCAAGGAATAAACTAGGGAAACAAAGGATAGTAAAAAACACTCTAAAGTGTTTTTTTACTCTTTGAATCTTTGGCAAAAAAAGCTGTTGGGTAGTGTGACAGCAGTATCCTAAACCTTTCATTGACAAATCAAGTAGAGGCTAACATTTACTTCCGGTTTCTGACAAAAAATGCTCATAATGTCAATGACTTAACAACTGGGCTGAATTACTGTCATACGTTGATAACTCTCCTGTATAAGGAACATTGGTGGGAAGGAATCTGTAGAGTTAAGCAATATCTATTTTGTATATATTTTAGTGAATGTAATGTTTGGAAAGTAGTACATGAGAATGCAGTGGGCCTACATGTTAACATTAAGTATATTTTAAAATGATCTGTGCTGAATTTTACTTGTATACATATTTGAATTCAGATGTTGTCTTCTCAAAGCTTGTAATTTGAAGAAAATTTAAAAATGTTAAAAACAAAAGTTCAGATAATTTAATAAGTGTTACTTATGGGATAAATATTTGTGGAACAAGAAGGAGGAGGCTTGGCATGTTTTTTGCTTTGCACTTTAAATATAAATATTTGAACATTGTTGTCTTGTCTGTGATTTCATTATATATTTGGGGTACTTTTCTTTATAAGATCTGATACATATCTTCCTGACAGAGCTGAAAAATCACAACTAATCGGGATTAATAATACCAGGCCAATCTTGCATAGATCATTCTTAGGAAATACTGCTTTATCCTGTACTAGTACTAATGATCATTACAATAAGTGAAGGTCAGACTGCATCATCAATCTAAAGTTGGCAACTGGTAAAAAATCAGTTTTTCCACAAGACAGTGATGATTGTATCATAGCTTCTGTTACTTTACTTACAGTCAATTCATTCTTATTTGTTTAAAGCTTAAATATCTTCAAATCAGTCAAGCTCTGAAAATAGCTGATCATAATTTCATGTATTTATTAAAACATACATATTTCATGGTTTGATTTTGTACATATAGTCTTTTGAAAATCTTGAAACTGAGTTGCAAAACTTTGGTGTAAGTGGTTGTTTCCGGGCTACTGCATTTTTGCAAATACAGCAGCATTGTGTGATAAAATAACTGTACATAGATGGGACCTCTAATACAGTTTAAAAGCCTATTATTTTTCCCTGAGTGTTCTTTGTGCTCATTCCAAATCAGATTGTGAGCAAATTGTTGCCTTAATTTGATTTGGAGGCCCTGATGCAGATTTTACTGTAAGCAACTTCCTTAGTTATACCTGATTTACCACTTATGCAATTTTACTTATTTTTTATTGTGGCTTTACATTTTTCAGACCAGGAATGTTCCAAAATCCAAATTTATGGTAAAATATATATATTTCTTTCCCCAAATGTCCTTATTCTAGTTTCTGATGTCACATATCAATCAAGGGCACTTCCTGTTCTGCTACCCATAAGTCTTTATATGATGTATCTGATCTGACAATACATACAGAAATTATTTATTAATTATTTATAGTTTACTCAGACTGGACACTTGCATTTAGCAGTGTATTAATATTGTACATGTTTTTACATTTCATGAAGGTTAGAATAGCTTATCTTTTTTTTTAAGGGTAGAAGTTGTTCTAGACTAAAATAAAATAGTATCTAGTTCAGGGCCAGATCAACAGCTTATATAATTCTGTTTAAAATTGTCTCAAAGCATATGAGAATGTAAAAATTGTGTTTTAAAATTAAATTTAACGCATGCTTTACTGTTAATGGTTTTTAAAGAAATAATACATAGGTTAAACATTTTGTTTCCAGTTTCCCTTTCTTAAATGTGTATAGGTAGACAATAGGTACTTTTTTTTCTTTTTGCAAACTGAACATGATTAATACATATTTAATTCTGTTCAAAAGATAATTGTTATTTTCTTAAAACTGATGTCCCAATTTACAAAAATGTATAAAAAGTATGATTAGACAATTTTCAAATCACCAAATATAAATGTTTTTCTTTACACCATTTCTTCTTTTTAAACTTTAGCACATCTAGTCCACCCATTTGGCCAGGAAGCACCTTTATCAAGAGAAATGGAGCTCTTCTGCAAGGTAGGCCAAAGAGTCTCTGTTACGATAATTGCCATAACTTTCAGGAGTAAAGCTTATTATAGTGCTTTTATCCTTTTTCAGTATCTACATTCATATGTAGTATACTCATGAGCTCAATTTGTTTCACCATGTAATACTTTAATATTCTATGAATGCATCTCTTTTCCTCCATCCATGTTTCACACAGCATGATACCTTTCAACTTGTGTTGATGAATAATATAGTATTGCTTCTACTTGTATCAGTGGAAAAATACTTCTAGCCATAGTTGTGTGACAGCTGTATCTCAGTGGTTGATATGCAAGACACAGTCACCTTTTCTATTACAGTATAATTATGAGTATTTTTCTCCAGTTCAGTACTGTAGGCAAGAATTGTTGTTCAGTAGTGAAGGAATGCTTGCAAGGCATGGATTGTTCTCTTTATATTTGTTGGTTTTCATTTTTCCATTTGAATGATATTGACTAGTTATTATGGAACTGAACTTAGAAATTACATTGGATAGAATATGAAAGAGTTTTATTTTTTTTATTGTTGCATGCCAGTTTTGAATCTTTGAGGGTTATGTGATCGAAATAATCTTATTTGAATTTAATTGTCAGTAATGGAAGTTGATATTCTGTGTAATTTGACCGCTTTATTTAAAAGGAAATCTATCTTTTGATGACTCTTGGGGAGGTAGTAAGTATCCACAATCTCTCATCCAGTTGCTTCTGCTTCATTCATGTTCAGAACATATAGAGTAAGACAAATTTTCTACAGCCTTGAATATATTTTTAATTTCTGCTTTAATCATGTTGGTTAAAAATGTCAAGGTGTCATTTTTAGAGGTTTGTATCTTTAGATCGCTGAATACATCATAAAAACCATATTAGAATAAAATAGTAATTATTGATGCTGCCTATTTCTGATTATTAAGAAAAGATACATGATAAAATATGTTTCTTGTGAAATTTTGTAGGACATAGGCTTTTGTGAATATAGAACAGCCTGGAAAGTACTCATAGATGAAAACAAGAGAAAAACATATACAGAATTTAATTAAATAATTTAATAAAAAAGTTTAATTGATTAAATCTTATAGGACATGGCACCTTAATAAGTTAGAATTTTAAATTCAGCAATGGTATTTATTCTTATTAGTAAACATTAATAGAAGTACCCTTGATACATTTCTTCCTCTTGTACCTATATTTTAATAGTAAAATGTTAGTAGTTGTCTGACCATTGTAAGATTCATCCATGAATGGTTCATTTGTCAATAGCTGTACAAATAAGAAACAATACGATTGCTTTGGAGTAACTCAGGCTCTTTTACAAATTATTGTTAATATTGTTTTTATTTGAGCAACTGAATATATTTAGATCCAAATTTAAAGCTATATTTTTGTATGCATGAAAATTTATGTCAGTGCAAAAAGTGAACAAAATATAAAAACAGTTGACCCATTGTAGACGTAGCTAGATCAGTCTACCTCAATTGACTACATGCATTTCTTTCATTATGCTTTATCTAGGTTGATTGTAACTAAAGGGATAATGTGCAAGAATATTCAGAATCTCAGTAATGCTTTTAGAATAGAAATGTAATGAAATTTCCTTGTTGATTACATAGCTGCCATCAAACATGAGGATTTTAATTAACAAACAGGTTGTAAGACATTGTCATCATAACCATCAACACAAAATGTTTATTCAACTGGTTCCTTTTTAAATTGGTTTTGACTGCTCCAAATAATCCATAGCTTCACTATTTTGATTGTAGAAACTCCACTGTATATGCAATTAGCTTTTTATGACCTTTTGCAATTATTATATGTGAAAGTAATAATAAATGTTCTTGGTTATAGTGTATCTTAAAACATTTGGTTCTATAATTCTCATGTTTAATTGAAACTTTTCAATGAAATCCTTTGGGTTACTTTCTAGTCCCCCACCCCATCCCATCCAACAGAAATATCTTTCACTCCTATTTTTATAGCAGATGTAGATTGCTTTAATTTGTTAATAATAAATTATTAATTGTATAAACATGCTCAAGGAGAAATAACATTGTACATAAAACAATGTACAATCCTAGTAATCCTTGAATGACTGCAACCCAAATAATGCTAACTTTTCTGTGTAGCTGAATATTTTTATTTTCTGGAGTGTAATATTTTAGTGTTGTCAGAATGTCATTGGCTAAATAGAATACAAGGGATTTTTTTAATTACACATGGTACATTAACTAAATGCTCAAGATTTTGAAATTGTGTCTTCAAACAATACAAGCAATGGGAATTTCCTGTTATAAAAACTAGATTCAGAAGAGACAAAGGTACCTAAGATCATATTGGTAAAAACTGGTAGTTTGTAGAAAAAAACAAGGAGTTCAAGAAAGGTTTTTATTTTTGCTTTATTAAATATACTAAGGCTTTTAACTGTATAGAAAACAATAAACCTCAGAGAGTCCTTAAAACATGGGTACAATGAATATCCAGGTACTTTAGACATTGTGAGTTTATATGGATATCCATATAAATTAAATTAAGAATTTAGTTGAAATTTTGAAAAAGAGTATACCATGGTAATTGGGAGGTGTGTGTGTCTGCCTGTGTGTTAGTCTGAACTGCTGGCAACATCTGTAAAGGTGTTTCTTTTTTTACTATGAGACTTATATGCAGATTATTTCAGGAGAAATGCTGAACTATAAAAAATAGAATATGAAATTGAAATTGTTAGGAGAAACATCAGCTGGTGATCCCATCATTCAGTTCTAATTTATCACGGTGGAAGCTGGATATTCAGAAAAACTGAATGAAAGATGAAATTGATGCCCCTAAATTGGGGTGCTGGAGATAATTGAGAATCCTTTGCCTATAAGAACGAATAACTCAAAACTAGATGAAAGTGAAACAAGACTGCTCATTGCAGTTCCTAATAATAAAGCTTTAATATTTTGGACAGATAATGCAAAGGCAAGACTCAATGAAAAAGACTGATGGTTGGAAAAACTAAAGAAGATTTAAAAAGAAGTTGACAGAGAACAAGATAGCTTGGTACTATCCTTGATAATGCAAGCATGAGCTTGAGAATGCAAAAAAGCAATTATTGCAGGCAGTTCTAGTTAAATTATGTCTGTTGGGTCATGAAAAGTTAGAAGTGGCTGACGAACAAGAGTAAATTTATGGTGGTGGCCTTTAGCATAGCTCCTTTCACAGCTTTGCTCTTCTTCTAGTTTTTGTATTGTTTTGAGTTATGATCTATATGGCTGCCCATCTTAAAGCACAATTCTGGGCAGCTCACAATGCAATCCTAAATTATAAAAATCATAAAAGCACCATCAATCCCCATCACCTCTATCATCTCCTAGGGATGCTCCAACAACCAGCCCAAAATATCCTCACTTTACTCCAGCATTTGATAAAAGACACTTCCTGATGGCCTTGTAGAAGACTGAAGGGCTGGGGGGGGGGGGAATGGTGTTCCATAAGGTAGGGACAACCACAGAAAATGTGCACTTCTGAGATCCCGCTAGATGGCAACAGTTTAGGAAAGGGACCTAGAACATGCCTTCCCTATCTGATCTGGTGGGACAGGCAGATAGTCTCAGAGAGAGTTGGTCTTGCAGATAACCCATGCAATGTAAGCCTTTAAAGGTGATAACCAATACCTTGATTTACACCTGAAAGGAAACTGTGCATGTATCTCATGCAACAGACTCATTACTTGGGTAAACCTGGAAGCAGTCAACATTCTGCACTGCTTTATTCTAACCAAGTTGTTGTTTCTGAATGGTTTTCAAGGTTAGCCCCATGTACAGCATAATGCAGTAAATCCTAATGGGAAGTGACTAAGAGATAGGTGACTGTGAGCAAGACTTCCTGGTCCAGGAAGAAGTACATTTGGCACATAAGATGAATCTATACAAAACCTCCCTACTCACAACTGCCACCTGCTTGCTCATCAAGCATGAGCTGTGAGTCTAAGAGACAAAAATTGTGCATCCACTCAGTCCATGGAAATGCAACCCCATTCAGAGTCAAAGATGTCTAGATTCCAAAGGGCTAAAAAGTCAACACTACTCCATCTTGCCAGGACCGATCAGTTCTATTCCACTCAAACTCTTACAATCCCCAGTCACTCAGTTAACACCACAACAAAATCTTCTGCCTAGCAGGGTGTGGAGATTTATAGCTGTACATCATCAGTATATATATCAGGGATCGAATGACCTCATCCATAAGTTTCATATATGTCAGTGGGAGAGATGAGAGATCTAAGCCCTAAGGCGCACCTCACACTGTAGATCCTAGAGCTGCCCCCAATACACACTAATTGGAACCATATCCAGAGAAAGGTGGTAAGATGCAAAATAATGTATGTTACTCCCAATCTCTGTAAATAGTCCAGAAGGATATTCATGGTTGATGGTATCAGAAGCCACTGAGAGATGCAGGAGAGCCAGGATGGTTGCATCACATCTGTCTTGAGCCCATCTTATTACTCTACCCTCACCTGAACCCAAAAGGTCCAGATAATCCATTTCATCCAGGGTACCCTGAAGCTGAGCACTAACCATTATCTCAATAACCTCCAAAAAGGAAAGGTTGCATACTAGACAAAAATTCTTTAATAATTTAGGTCCAAAGATGGCATCTTAAGGAGACAACACACTACTGCCTACCTCAAGGCAGGCAATACCATCCTCTCCCTCAAAGAGGAAATTAACCATTGCTTGGACCCAACCACTGGTCACCTCAAACAACCAAGAGCGGCATGGTTCAGAAATAGAGGCCAAGCTCATTTCCTCAGGATCAATTGGCTCAGACAGCTTCCAGATAACAACACTCATATGTGTTTTATTATTATTATTATCTTTATTGTCAGAGTACAACTTGAGTACAATGAGATTGGCTGAGCCTCCCTTTGTGCATCCCCACAACACAACTCACAGTGAGCATAGGGACCCAAACCCAGTCCCAATCTTACTATACTACTACTGTTGCACAACGCAA